TTATTTAAAAAAGTAAATAACTAAATTCAAAATCAGCGATGTAATATATAACGATGTAATATATCAGCGATATAATAAATGTAAATATATTTATTAACCATATGGTATTTTTTTAAATTTTTATTTTGGTTGCCTTATTGAACAATAAAATGACTTTAAATAAATAAATGATTTTAAATTATTTATAATAATTATTATTTAACAGCAATTATAATAATAATGCATAGATAAATGAAGATTCTTTTATCTTTAAAATAAGCCCATCTAGATTTTGTAGGATGAATAGAGGTGAAATTATCGTGATTTTAAAAAATGTATAAGCATAAGGGCAAATATTCAAAAATTTAATCTTCCGTATTTTTGAAAATATTGACCAAAAAAAATTGCCAAAATACGTGTCGGTTCATTTCATATACGAAACACGTAAAAAAAATTTGAAACAAATAAAAAGTGTAACCATACTTTTGACGAAATCTGTTCGATTTGTAAAAAAATGCCTCATATATGTATTACAAAAAAATAATTATTTATATATGTATTTATTTATTAAAATAATAGTAACTTGAAAATTGTTCTAATGTGCAGAAAGTTTAATATGTAGAAACCAAACGTAGATATAATACAATCTGACTTATTTATTTAATTAAAATGGAATATTAAACGGATAATATATAGAGACTGGCGTTTAACCTAAATAAAAAATCAAAAAGCGTTAATATAATACAATGAGATACAATTATTATTCCATGTATCTTAATTAAATATATTTGATATAAAATATGTTGTATTTTTATAAATATGATAACAATAAACTAATAATGAGTTCTTACCATTCTACTGAACAAAATCTTCCATTACAATCAAAGCTGTCAATAATAAGTAATATCTTCAGGTGGAAAATCGAATATCTCCATATTCTGAGCGATACGTGACTTATTTTTAGTAATTAACTTAAGAATCACTATGTTCATGATCCATCTACAAATAATCATTATACAATTTTAATGAATGTATTACTAATATATTAAATTTTCAATTGTTATAAATATTTGCGGATTTTTAAATAAAACTTAATAATTTAAAATTATATTGAACACATCTAATTCATCGAAAAGTATTAGACATATGTTCAAGATTATTAGTATTATAATAACTTGATAACGAATAAGTATTTGTATAGGTATCTTGTTATACTTTTGCTACTTAACTAATTTCTCATCTTTCAATATTTTAATTCATCTTGGCCTAAGATCTTTCTGGTGATCCAAATGAATTATATATTGTAATAAGAATTCCTTGCAAATTTGAGCTTCTTTTGCGTTACGAATGGCATTCGATCTAACATATATAATACAAAATTGGTTAAAAATGTCAAGAGATGTCAAAAGAAATAACTATTGTATTTTTCTATACATAAAAAAATCTTTATGTAGCATGCCGATTTTAATTATTCAATTATTTTCTTCAAGGAAAATTTAGAATACTTAATCTAGTTGTAAGACTGTTTAATATTTTATGTTATTTTTGCATATTATATTTATAGAAAACCAATACAATTCTCGTTAATTATATTATTAAAGAAATTAAAATTAATCATAAATTAACCATAAATTAATCATTAGATAAGTCACTATTTTGATGGAACTTATTTCTTAAATTTTACAAATAATTTTACAATTAATTATATTACTTCGATGATTTTGTGCGGTTACATATAACGATGTTTATTTTAGCGTTAGAATAAGATATGTAATCTTATATAAATTATTGCTATAACGTACTTAAATGTTTGACACCGGATACCGGATATTTACTAGATATCTAATACTACTATATTTCTAAAAAATATATCAATGATAATAAAAGTTTTCTGAAATTTGTATTTATAGACATTATTTCAATATAAAGTTTCGGCCAGATATATTGCCAGAAATCAAATATCCGGCAATCTTTTCCGGATATCAGATATATATCCCTAATTATCATTATAACATAAAGACTATAAACCCAGAAATCGAAAATGGATTAAAATTTTCAATCCATCCGAATCCATATTTTAAATCTATAAAAATGAATTGGATTCCATATAAAAAATTTTCATAGATGTAAAAATTTAAATAAATTAAAGCAGTAATTATATTAAATTCTATAGTTATTATTTTTAAAATTTTATACAAAAAATATACGCTAGCTGTATAATAAAGGAAACGTATTAATATAAAATATACATAAAAGCGATTTATTAATTATTAAAATAAGAAATTTATATATGTAACATTTATTATACATATTTACATAGTTCTTTTTCTTAACTAAAACATATAAAAAAAGGAGCATGAAACCTCAGCACTAGATGTTTATGAAATTTAATAATTCATTACATTAATAAAAAATCTTTAGACGTTTCGGCTACAATCTGACCATCTTCAGTAAAATCACAAATATTAGTAAAACACAGAATTTATATATATCTGACATTAAATTCAGCCGTCGTATAATATAAATATAAACGTTCTTTCATCTTGTGAAGATGCATCGTACAACATTGTTGCAGCGCCAATTATCATATTGCAAGTTATGTAAAACAAGAATTTCCAGATTTTAATTTAAAAATTAAACTATCGTTAGTATCTTCTAATCAATTTTATGAGGATTAAATCGTTACCTGTTTTACAGACAAAATGATGAATCTTAAGCACTTTCCTCACGCAGATGGAAATTCGTCGTGACATTGTGTATTATTATTTGTCATATCGTCATATATTACCGCTATTTATATGTATGTCAAAAGTTTAGATTGTCTAGAATTATTTTTAAGTGTGAGAGAGATCTTCCTTTACAACAGTTGCAAAGCTGCTTTCTCTGCTGAACGCAGCCATTGCTGTTAAAAATGCATGCGACTTTTCATTATGTATAATAGTGTATGAGGTGTGAGCTGATCTAGTGTGAACTTAGGCACGGATTATTACTCCGTGCGCTTGGAGCACATGCGTTACTAGATGTGAGGTTATGTGACATAGAGATGACCAGCTCTTGTTACTGTTGATGAAACAATTTTTTTCGTGAATACAAAAAAGTAAGCTGTAATATAAACAAGATATTATCTGTGTGATCAGTGTTCTATTGACTGTATTTATATCCATCCATTAATTTTACTTTCAAATGAACATCTGTAATAATCTTATAATAATCTTACTTTTCAGAGAGCAACGTTAAAATAATGTCATCGTGGAAGAAAGCTGCGAAGATGAGCCAGAAGACTCACCGGGAACGTCACCAACCAGAGGCACGCAAACACCTGGGACTATTAGAGAAAAAGAAAGACTACATTATCAGAGCCAGGGACTTCCAGGAAAAGCGAGCGACAATCAAACTCCTAAGAAAGCGTGCACTGAATAAGAATCCAGATGAGTTTCATTTTCATATGATTAATTCCAAAGTGGTGAATGGCGTTCATCGAGAGAAGGACAAAGAGGATCAGCACACACCTGAACAAATCAAGCTGATGGAGACACAAGACCTCAGATATGTAGCATACAAGAGGAACATTGAGGCGAAAAAGATAGACAAGTTGCAGAGTCAGTTGCATATGATTGATGCTGCTAACGAGACACAGAATCAGCACATCTTTTTCTTAGATGACGATGAGATGAAGAATTTTAATCTAGCCAAAAAATTGGATACACATCCAGCGCTTCTGTCCAGACGCACAAATCGACCTACTTTAAGTGCAATCAAAAATATGAAGCTACCGGAATTGGATAACATAACTATTGCTAAGTTCGAGCAAAAGAAACACATGACTTATAAAGAACTCGAAAAGAGGATTGACAGGGAACGTGAGCTTATAGTCGTACAACAGAAGCTTGAAGTACGCAGAGCGCTGAAAGACAAGAAAGTCAGGAAACCAAAATTAGTGAAATCTGGCTCGAAGGATGCCGCTCCTATTTATAGGTGGAAGTTTGAGAGAAAACGATAACTTATTTGTTTATTATAAAAATCGATTAGTATGTAATATTAGTCAATAAATTGTGAATATTAAATAAAAATTTATATGCAGCTTTCATCATTTTTTATATCAATCGTATAATCGATGTTACTCATTTAACATCTATCAGTTAATAATAAAAATTCGCATGTTTTGATAAAATAATAAGTTATTAAAGAATAATAATAATAATGATGAAATTTATTTTCAAATTTTGTATTACTTATTAGTATTTATCTATTTATTATATTCATAAATATATAATATATAATAAAAAAATATTTAGACAAAAAATAAAATATAAAAAAATGTGTAATAAAACATCGTTGAAAAATTTTATTAGTATAATAATTTGGCCAAGTGCGTTACTCATTTAGTCTACTATCTTTGTTTATCTCGCTATCGTTTCGTAACTTTTATAAATTTACTTATCTTTTGTATTTATCTTTTCGTCTTTTTATTTCCGTTATGTTGATCACATTGTATTGTCCGTGCATAAAGATAAAGTTGAGAATGTTCTGAAATTGTTTAGTGCGTATCATGAAAGGATAAGCTTTACAATAGACTAGAAGGTTTTGGCATTAATTTTTTAGATGTTAAACTAATGAGACAAGAAGTAAAAAATAATCCAAACTTTTGACATACATATAAATAGCGGTAACATATGACGATATGACAAATAATAATACACAATGTCACGACGAATTTCCATCTGTATGAAGAAAATGTTTAAGATTCATCATTTTGTCTGTAAAACAGGTAACGATTTAATCTTCATAAAATTGACTAAAAGATATTAACGATAGTTTAATTTTTAAATTAGAATCTGGAAATTCTTATTTTTTTTTTAAATAACTTGCATATGATAATTGGCGCCGTAATGTTATATGATACACCTTCACAAGATGAAAGAATACGTTTATATATATTTATATTATACGATGGCTGAATTTAATGTCAGATATATAGTATGTAAATTCTTCAATAAAATCATAAATATTAAAATAGTAATTCTTACCAGATTGTGGCTGAAATGTCTAAAGATTTTTTTATTAATGTAATAAATTATTAAATTTCACAAACAACATCCAGTGCTGTGATTTCATGCTCCTTTTTATGTTTGATTTATAAACCACATTCGTTATAATTATTTATTTCTTTTAACTATTAAATGAAGTAGAATTCGTGATTTATATTTTTACGGTACAACTTTTTTTTAACTCAATTGAATTAAAACGAAAAATTTCTTATTCATAATTCTGAATAAAATAGCATTCATGATGTATTTTTAAATAAAATAATGAATTTTCTACTCACAATTTTGAATAGTATTTATGGCCCATTTTAAGAAAAACATTTTTGTATTCAATTGGATTAAAAAACTGCATTTCCTATTCAGAATTTTTAATTAAGTAGTATTCACGATGCACACTACACTACACAAAATACTATAATATTATTTTTAAATTAAAAAGCATAGAAATATACTCCATGCCATTCCCATAAATGAATAAAAATGCATTCAAGATTGAAAAGGATTTATTTTAACATTCTTGAATCCATATTTCTGAAAATCTGAATCCATTTTAATCCATTTCAATCTATTCTCGTTTGCTGAGAAGTTATATAACAGAAAGTGATAATATAAAGTGATAAGAATGTCGTAGAATGTAAGGATTAATATCTGTCGATAATACAACTAAAGATAGATATATAGATAGATAAAGTGAATTTACATTATACGAGGATGGATCAAATATCAATGAGAATTCTCTTTTTATCATTTATTGGACGAGAATAAAAATATAAAAAAAACAAATTATTTTTCTACATAGTTCCTTGTTATATTAATAATTTTTGCCAGCGGATAGCGGCAGTTTAGCGATCCTGTTTTTATTAAAAATAGTAGATTATATTTGCAGTTAATTGCGCACAAATTCTTCGATGGAATTCGTCCTCAAATTCTCCTAATTTTTTTAGCGGTTCAAACAAATAATAATCGCATTGAGACAAATCTTTCCATTATCATTTGTTTTGACCACTGAAAGAAGAATTAGGAGGACAATATGATTCGTGGACGATGTCGGTGAAGAGGAATTCTTGCGCAATTAACTGCAGACACAATCTACTACTTTTTATGAAAATGGGATCGTCAAACTGCCTTTCCGCTGGCAAATATATTAATGTAGCAGGATACTGTATAGAAAAATAATTTGTTTTTTTATATTTTTATTCTTGTCAATAAAAAAAATTTCTCGTTTATATTTGATTCACCCTCGTATTAGTATCTACAAACGCGTGAAAAGAAGAATTCCACAAGGAAAGTTTTTGTGTATTAAAGAAGAATTGTAAAAATAAAGAATAAAAACAGGTAAAGGAATAATTAAAGTGATCGAATATCAAATAAAATGTACTATAAAATTATATATATATACTACCATTGAATGCGTCTTTTTAAGTCTTACAACTTTTGTAAGAAACATTTTTTTCTAAAATGCATCGGCGTTTATGAAATATTTGGATGTATCCAGACTTTTGGCCCACCTTGTATATATTTATATTAATAATCAGCTAAATTAAACTCAACTAATTGTTAAAGACTCTTTTTATATATATTTATATGGATACATGTTTAACTCAGTTTTGAGACATAATTAATACGATAGCGGTAAATTAAAATATCGTCATTAAATGATGAAAAATTTTTACACGACGAATATGTAACTCAAGATTCAATTCGCACGGCCACTTACGCAAACAGAAATGAAAATAAAGCAAAATTTAATATGAAAGAAACAAGAAAAATAGCAAAGAAAAACGAAAAACCTTTATATATCCTACTTGTGAAAATGACAACAATTATCACGTGAAAATTCAATCTAAAAAATTCTCTCAACCAAGTTCGCTGTGATACAAAATGGGATGGTGATATGTCAGGTGTTCTTGTGTGAAAGCCTATAGAGTTTGTAAATGAATTTTCAGGTGTATCGCAACCATTCATACAATTAGAACAATTCTCGTTACCATGTGATCTTAATAATAAGTAGTGACTCATACGAGTACGTGACTCTTGTCGCTTATATGCAAATTAATATATACAAATAGGATTGAACACGAAGAAAAACACCGTTAAAAATGATGCAATTGTGTAGTTGTAGTATTATTAGACTATTGGACAAGAGAGACTATTAGACTATTGGACAATGCTTTATTAAGCATTTTCAAGGATGCTTCGGAATCAGAAATTGATGACAGCAACAAGAAGTTTTTAGAAGATTAATTCCTGTGGTTAGTAAATTAGTGGTTTGTCAATTAGTGATAATAACTCGCTGTACTGTTATTTTATGCAGTATAAACGTTCTTTTATTTCACAAGTTTTTATATAATTGAATTTTATTGTAGTAAAATAGTAACAATAATTATATAATATAATGTAATTATATAATGTATTTTGCTGTAACATTTATAAAAGTATTATAATATTATAAGAAAATAACATAAAAGAAAAATATTTATGTACACACAAATTAATATAATAATATTCAAAAAACAAAATGTTTAAAAATATGTTTGCAAAAATTAAAATGCGAAAAGTTTAATAGAAGACAGACGCAGACATTTGCTCATTTTCCTTAGATTCCTTAGAATGGAATATTGAATGGATAATAAGGGCTGGTTTCCGACCTGAAAATAAAAAATAAAAAGAAATGTTAATATATCACAAAACTTGATAAAAGTTTTATTTATTATAAATAATT